GGTTTGTTTTGTTATATGTAAACAACAACATTAAAATAAATACGGTTTTAATATATGTCGATATGTGACTTTTGTCTGTCTAATCAAACTATTTATTTTCTAATCGGGTATCAAGGGATATACGACGAACAAAGATTAATTCTGAACGCTAATTAAAATTGATAATATTGGTCAAAATCAGATTTGATCAACAAATGTTTTTCCTGTCAACATGGATTTTTTAAAAAATTTCTGCAGACATGTGGAAACAAATTTATATGGTTAAAATTCTCGTAGAGATGAAAACGCTCTTTGTCACAAAGACTTTGTGCTAACGGATATGAATAAAACTTGATTTGGTTATCATGTAGTTAAGTATACGCTAAAATGCTTAAAGTAGTCGTATTTCAACATCGCGCCTAATCTCTGCGATTGAACATAAAGAATTTATTTATCTAACTGATAAATCATATAATATACTATTCGTACACATCCTTATTGTTCATCACACATGCGTTTTGAATATTTGATACGATGTGGTTATAATTATCACAAGCATTATCATTGAATTCGTAATACTCGCACGAATTTCGGATATTATATTATACATACGCGTGGACGTCGAAAACATATACTGTACCTGTAATGGTGAATATGCGTGTGCACAGTGCTCACACATACACGCATCTAAGTATTTTCTAATCCCGAATGTTTTTATGAAATTAATATGCAGCCACTTATTGGCTCTATCTTTCGGAATTTAAATGTAGCAATTGTAAAAATGCAATTTTTGATGCGTAAATTTTCAAGAATACTATTTAAGTGTGTCTATTTGAAAAATGCTATTAATTATAGATTTTTAAAACATAAATCTTAAAAGTTATAAACTTTAAAAAATGTTTTGACTCATAAAACCTCTAAAAACCTTTAAAATTAAATTCTAATATAACATAGTTAACCCAAACATAAATGATATAATGAAATTTTTTTTTAAAAAAAGTAGCATTTTTACAAAGATTTTTAAAAAGTGGTATTTTTGAAAAGTGGCATTTAAAAATGACATTTTTGAAAATTTCTCAATTTAAATCGACAGATTTGTCTGCCCTCACAGAAAATCAAAATTAAAACCACATTTTTATTTCTATTTGGTCAGTTAAAATATTACTATGTTTTAAGGTTTTTTTAAAAATTCGATTAGTGGACTACTCGACAGTTACACTCATCTTGAAGAATTGGTCACTTAACCTTATTATCGCAGCAAAAATATCAAAAATAGAAAAAAAAATCACCGAAAAAAAATTCACCGCGAACAAATATGATTGGGCAACCTGAATATAAATCATTAGAAATACGATTATATAGTTGACTTAAAATCGAGAAGTAATGAAGTATTGTGAAGAAGATCTACTCAAACAACAACAAAAAAATGTCAC